TAGTAGTAGTAGTAGTACTGCTGCTGCTGCTGCTACTACTACTACTACTACTACTAATACTACTGCGACTACCACTGACTTCGTCCACGACTAGGACCAGGACCACGATAACGACCACGACCACTAACCACTACACTATCACTACCACAGCGGGTGCTGCTGCTGCTGCTGCTGCTGCTTCGACCACCAATCATGAGAACGTTGTCAGCCATGACAAGACGCGTATTAGCAAAAACAACAGGCATGGTCAATAAAGAGTCGTGTCACTCCTTCCCACAATGACATCTATGAAGTTGACAAGATAAGCAGCACACATCGGGAAGCTGTCTAAAGTCTAAATCCGGCTGCATGTACATCGGTAGCTCCTCATGTTATGTTACAGATGAAGGTTTAGATGAGTAATGGCACTGGCCGAGCCGCAATGACAGGGCAAACAAAGACGGCGGTTCTTAATCCAACAGCTGTTCGTACAAAAACCAAGGCAACTCAAATCGACTTCAAGAGTCAGCATTGTCCTATTCATTATCATCATTTGTGGCTCTCTCCCTCTCTCTCTCTCTCTCGCGCGCTCTCTCTTTTCTTCTCCGTCTCTCCGCTCGCAGTGGCCGCCCAGTTCGGATGCCGGCCCGAAGACCCTTAGCGCATCCTGACGAAGTACCCTTACTGCTGCTTAGATATCATAAACACTATTATTAAGGGTTTAGGGTTTAGGGTTTAGGGTCTTATTATTCTTATTATTCTTATGAAGGTAAACACTATGTGGGGACTCACCGGCAAACAAGAAGGCTACATCTGGTTGTGAGATTGACAGCTGTCATCAACTTCGTGCACGGTCAGTGCAGATCATCGCCACCATCGCCACTATCGGCACCATCCTAAAGAATCACAATCATCCTCCTCGTCGTCTTAGAAACCCTCAAGCCTAAGCCCTAAGCCTTCGAGCTGAGAGCCCAAAGCCTCATGGACCAAGGCCAAAGATGCAGCTGGAGACCTTTAAAGACTGGGCCGTGGGCCTGGACGTCCTTGAGAGGGAGATTTTGAAGGGAAGCCTTGAAAGGGAGCCCTTGGTAAACGGAACTCGTAAAAGGAAGCCTTGCTAGGAACCCTTAGAGGAGAAGGAGCCGCTTAAAAGGAAGCCTTAAAGGGAGCCCTTAGCAGCGGTTGTGTTTCAAGGTCTTTCGGTTTGCTGGGAGGTCGGGTGACCTGGCTGGCGGGTTTGTTATGTTTCCAGTGTAGGGTTTAGAGACGACGAGGTGCGAATGACGCTGCCGTTTCCTTTCACCCTTTGAGCATAGCTCGCCCTAGAACACATTGAACCCGTACGTCGCGGCAGGGAGGCTTTCGAAACCGAAGCAAGCTCAGCATAGGTCCCCTCCCCACTTCACCTCGACTGCTAAGCCATGAACCTGGCCTACTTGAGCGAGATCGGCGTGCCTGTTCCTTGACCTTTTCCTTGTTCTTCACGCATCGGGTTCTTTTTTTCATGCATTCTCTGCTGGCAGGTTGCCTGCTCTTCGACTGCGTGCCGAGCTCCGCTACGTGGAGCCCCACCAGCGGCAGCGCAGCACAGAGACGGCCATGGCTACACTGCGTCTTCCGGTGCAAAAAGGAGGCGCGGCAGTTCCGCGGTCGGGCGCAGAGAGCAGTGCGGTAGCCGGTAGCATTTTTTCTGCGCCCTGGGCCTCAGGCCCGTGGTGACGCGCTTCGCACCTTCTCCCACAGGGTACCTGCACATTGGGGGAGCGAGGACGGCGCTGTTCAACTACCTGTGCGCAGCTTAGCCACGGTCTCGCATGAGCTGGCCTGTGCCGGCTGTGCCTGTCTGCGCGTGCTGGACAGTACTAAACTCTAAGCCCTCAGCCCTAGACCGTAAAGCCTAAAACCTAAACCCCTAAACCCCGAAACCCAAGCCCCTAAACCGCGCTTAGGTTTGCAAGACATCATGGCGGCAAGTTCCTGATGCGCCCCTCGGCCTGCACTTGCGGTAGCTCTCCCGGCCCAAATAGTCGAAGCAAGGTCGGAGAAGCCCCGCCCAAAGAACCCACTTTTATTTAGGGTCTTTCTATGGAGATCCTATTTAGGAGCCCTAAAAAGGTAGGCCGCACCCTGAATCCTTTGAAGCCTACCTAGACCCCAAAGAACCTGCTTTTTGAGGGTTTATGTAAGGAAGTCAGAATAAGGAGCCCTAAAAAAGGTAGGTTCTGAAAGGTCCAGGTAAATCCTAACTCTAGACGCTTAACATCCCTTAACCCTAAACCCTAAATCCCTACTCCCCGAACTGTCAGGCATCGAGGACACCGACGCCGAGCGGCACAACGAAGCCGCCGTCGATGCCATCCTTCAGGGAATGGCTTGGCTGGGCACGCCCCACGACGGAGAGATCGTTCGGCAAAGAGAGAACATAGGCCGGGCATGGCTTGACACAGCATATTTCTATTTTAAATGCGAGATCCATCGTTTTTCTGTAGTATGAAATCAGTGTGGAGCATTTTTGGAAGGGCGTGAGCACCTTTCCGGCTACGTCACGTGTGCAACATGCTTGTTGAGTAACGAGGACGGCACAAGGAAGTTGCAGC